CTCAACATCTTCATCAATGATCTGGATGAGGGAATAAATGGGGAACTCATCAAGATGACACCAAGCTGGCAGGAATAGCCAACACTCCAGAAGACTTAAGGCTGAAGATACAGAAGGATCTTGACAAACTTGAACATTGGGCACTATCTAATAAAATGAAATTCAGTGGTGGAAAGAGTAAGGTTCTATATTTAGGCAAGAAAAAACAAATGCACAGAATTGAATTACCGTATTTTTCGCAGTATAAGACGCACCAGAGTATAAGATGCATCAAATTTTGAAGAGGTAAATTAAAAAAAAAAAAACGTTTTTGCCCTCCCCAGCTCCCAGGAGCACTCTGCAGGCATCCCAAATCATCTGGACGCTCCGTTTTTTTGTGAAAAATGGGGCATGCAAATAGTTTGGGGAGGGCAAAAAAAGGCTTTTATCTATCTCAAATCCACTTTTCTCTACCTCTCCCACGGCAGGGCAGGACTAAACAGCTGTCTCCACGCTTTGTTGTTTTTCCCCCTCCCCTTGGACTGGCATAAAAGAAACTAGGCTGCCTCGTCACCCCCCCACCCCCCCAAATCTGCCTGGATCTGTCAGCAAAGAGATACGGTAGCTGGGCTCAATAGCACCAGCAGCAATAAGCACTGCATGACAGATCCGGAGAGATTGGGGTGGGGGGAGGGGTTGGAGCAAGGGAAGAGGTCCAATCTCCTCTGCACAAAGACTTTTCTCAGGACCCTCGATCTCCACTTTCTCTCGGGGAAAAAGCTATTGGCAACGTTGGGATTTTGGCCAGTGAAAGAAGTGCGGGATGGAAAGGAAACTTTGGAATGCGGCAGCTGCAGGGAGCTCCTGTATTCCCAAGTTCCCTTTTCATCCCGTGCTTCTTCTATTAGCCAAAGTCCCGACGATGCAAATAGCAATTTTCCAGAGAGAAAGTGGGGGGTCCCGAGGAAAGTCTTCGTGCAGAGGAGATTGGATCTCTTCCCTTCCTCCCCCACCCCCCCGGGGCTCTCCGGATTTCCTTATGGCTATTGTGCCCAGCTACCGTATCTCTTTGCTGCACGACCGATCACGTGTGCGTGTCTGTGTCGGATCGGTCGTGCAGCAAAGAGATACGGTAGCTGGGCACAATAGCCATAAGGAAGAGCCCGGAGAGCCCGGAGGGGGGAGGGCAGGGGGGGAGGAAGGGGAACAATCTCTCTAGGAAGGCTTTTATCAGAATGCTAGGTTGGAAAGTTAAAAACCTGGAATGGGGTACAATCAAGCGTGATTCAAAGGCTTTGGCTCCTGAGATCCCTGCCACCCGAAAATGCTATTACCGCGATCTCTGCCGCCCGGAACCGCCCGAGAAGGGGGCAGGTCAAGCGGGTACGGCAGAGATCGCAATGCCAGCGTTTTGGGTGGCAACTCAGCGATCTCAGGAACCAAAGTCTTCCTAGAGAGATTCTTCCTCTTTTCCCTTCCTCAATCCCACAATCTCTCCGGATCTGCTTACTGCTATTGCGCCCATGACAGATCCCAGACAGACAGACAGACGATCTGCAAAGAGATACAGCAGCGCCTCCTTAAACCAAAGCCTTTGAGGAACTGGGAAAGAAAGGCAAACTTTTTCGGGCGGCAGTTTTTGGCAGGTTCCAAGCTCGGCTTTCTTTCCCACTTACTCAAAGTCTTTGGTATACTCCACCCTCGCCCTCCTCCTCCTCCTCCTCCTCCTCCTCCTGCAAGCGAAAGGTGCCTCAGAGATTTGGTGGGCAGCTCAGGGGAGACAATGGCCACAATGACTTCACTCCCCAGCAATGTGAGGAGCCGCAGCCACCGCCACCACCGCCTAAGCCCTCCCGGGAGCCCAGCCGAGCGGGAGCTTTGAAAGTGAAACCTCTCTCCTTTCCAGCCATCGCAATCTCTGCAGCACCCCTTTTTCAGATGACCCAGGTGGCTTCATTTGGAGTATAAGACGCACCCAGATTTTCACCCTCTTTTCTGGAGTAAAAAGGTGCGTCTTATACTCCAAATGAAGCCACCTGGGTCATCTGAAAAAGGGGCAGGCAAAGCGGCGCTGCAGAGATCATGATGGCTGGAAAGGAGAGAGGTTTCGCTTTCAAAGCTCCCACTTGGCTGGGCTCCCGGGAGGGCTTAGGCCAGTGATGGGCAACCTTTTTG